CTAAACCTTGTCTCCATGATCGACATAAAAATTAACCCAAAGATATTCATATTATAATACAAAAGTAGCCTGATTTTGTCCATGAAAAACAGTATAAGTGGAGGGGGAGGAGATTGTTAGTAATGCGAAATACCAGTCCCATTGTTAGCAATATATCCTGTCAGGTCGACCTCCACATGGTCCCTTCTGGAAACCACCGTGTTGAATTCCAGGTGTATTCATCACGATGAGCTAACTGACCTGTTTTTTCATTCCCATCTATCATCCCTCACTGGTGCCTCGTCAGCGTATACCGTTAGCGCAGGCGGGGTTACTATTCCATTATCACCCATAAAAAAAAATACTATGAATATGTTGTTATTCATTTACTTGCTATTTCCTGCGGGTTTGTCCGCGTACCTAAAGTATGTGTATATATAATATACTTGCTCCCACGAACACTCAGGTTATTGAATGAGCTCCCTGCCGAGGTTTTCCCAAGAGACTACAGCATGGGGTTCTTCAAAAGGGGGGTAAAGAGGTTTCTTCAGGGTTGGCAACGCGCGCGTAATACCTTTGGTATTGTAGGCGTTCATAGGCTACGGTACCGCTTACCATCAGGTGGGCCGTATGCTTGTTTGCCACCTCAGTGGTATAAAAAAAAAACCTATGTGTTGAATATGATCTACCCACAAACTTTATTCTAATCTGTTCATCCCCTTAAGAGTAACTGAATAACAAAATTTCTCATTTATAATATCAGTGTGGTATTATAGCGAGATTATCTTAACAGCTCATTAACGACCCACTGCTGGGCATAGCGAGTAAAAAGAATAATATAGCTACTAATACCATATTTATCAAGCTGCTCGACTTTAATATAATTGCATGTTAAAATAATATGAGGATTTCAGAATACAGAATGGTAACGGAAGGAATGAAAATCTCTATATGATTCTCTAATAAATTTGCGATTCTTATATTTAGAAAGCAGTTTAAAGATTTATGAAATTTAATATATAAAAAATTTGTAGGTATATATAATATTGTAAAAAAAAATCTAATTAATTGTCAATCTGAGTGAAAGCGGATATTGCTATCGAGTAGTTTAGTAGGAAAATATAGTTTTGTTATTACAACATGACTAGTTTCTTGTTAAACTATGTCAGTAAAAGGACAAGATTTAACAGGGATGGGCAAGATTAATGGATTACAGGAAGGACCTTTGTAAAGTCGAGTTAATAAGTTGTCAAGAAGTTCATGAACATGCTTTGATCGAAAATGGCTCTGATCAGAGTAAGTAGAAGAATTTCTTCATCATTGCTGGCTTTGTAACCCTGTTATTAGAAATATAATGGAATTAGTTACGAGTCAGTGAAGAAATCTTCAATTCATTATAAAAATTTGCTACCAAATTGAACTAAAGAAATTATTATAAAGGTGGTATGCATTAATAGTAATTTAATTAATTTACATTTTATCTGAAGTAACTTATAATAAAGTATTACATTAAATAACTACGTTCCCTAAATAGAAAGAACGTATAAATCATATTATAAGATAATAGAATACAAGAATGCTTTGAAAACGATTTATTCGGCCAAAAATAAAAATATTTTTCAACTAACTTAAAAAAAAAAGAGGAGGTTCTCAAATCGACTGTATTTATTTTATGTTTATTACCCCAGAACTCCATCATTTATAAACGAATCTGTAAATCTTTTTTGTCTGAAACGATACACTTTCAGATTAATCCCATAGAAATTTCATCAAAAACAATTTAGTAGTTTCGGTTTTATATCGAAATAACTAACTTTGCACTTTGTACTTGTGTACAGCAATATTACGTCTTATGTCCTACACTCTCGAATCAAAACATGAGCTCACGCAAGAACATTGCAAATTTATCGAAGAATTTTCTACGTTTTTGAAGAATAGGTAAAATTGTTACTAATATTATAATTGAGTTTCTTTGTTACTTCTTACCATCTAACGACTTAATTAATCACTATAAAATTTGGTATATAAATCTACTATAAAAGATGTAAAAGAATATAGGCTACTTTATATTCCTGTTGGTAAATATTTCCCGAATATGCAAACAAAATCGCGAGACTTTGTATTTCTTTGCATTTTTCCACTTTTCTTGAATAATAGGTAAATAAAAGCGTCTTCACGTATTACTCATCGAATAAGCGTAGATAAGTATTTATAGAGAATACAGCATTCTTCACCTACACAATTTTTTTTAATGGATGACAATGGACTGGTAACCCCGCCTGCGCTAACGGTAATCACTGGCGGGGCACCAATGAGATGAAAAGGCAGGTCAGTTAACTCATCGTGATTGAAAGACCAGGAATTCAGCACGGTGGTATCTCAGGGGGGGATCACGTGGAGGTCGACCTGACATGGTATATGGCTAGCAATGGGACTAGTAGTCCGCATTACTAACAATCTCTTCACAATACCAAAAGTGTCCATTTGCAAGCTGTAAATAACAGTTCCAAATCCCTCCAAAATGGTATGAAACGAATTTAATAATTGTTAATGTAGTGAAATGCCCCGAGTTAAATAACTTAATATTTTTATTTACTATTTATTAATGTATAATAAAAAATAACAATGGTATTTAACATAACATTAACTATTATAGATTTCTTGAAACCTACAACAAGAGTTTTCTTTTGGAAAGTACGTCATTGAAGAGTGAAATGTTTGTTTTTTTTTGTTTACTTTATTTAAAATTTACCAACTTGCTATTGTAGCGCTACTTTAAAACCTTATGAAGACTTTTTAACCTTTTCATCCATGGAGAAAAATTTTCTCTTCTTCTTATTATATATATATATTCTTCTCTTTCTTATCTCTACCCTTTATACAAAAGACGATTACTCATCGATCTACTTTTACACAGGACTAGTTTTCAATGACAATTGAATAATTTTTTTAATGTCTTACGAAGATTTGTATAACAGTATTCAATTAAAGATGGAGACACATTGTGAGGACCTTAATTGCGAAGAAGAGCCTCATCGACAATCCACTATAATCATGAAAACCATGATCACTCTGTCAAGAGTGTCCAACAGAAGAGAGATTCAATTAAAATGACTAAACAAGTTATTTATTAATTTATATAATGCATAAAACGACATTTCTGAGATACAAATAAAAATAGCCAATTTATAACATTTCGATACTTAAATTGGCCCAATCCAAAATCAAATATAAGATCTCATCATCATTTTCATGTCCTTATCCCAATTATTTGGGGTCGGCGTAATATGTTTTTATCCATATTACCCAAGGTCTTGGCTTTTAGTTTTACGACCGGCCGCCTGCCTGACGTCAAATTCAAGAACTACTAAACGAAAAACACCATTATGCAACAAAGACTGTAATTTTAATATATTGAAAAACATATATAATTGAATATTTACGTATTAAAATAGGTTATATATAAAGCAATTTTCAATACCTATTTGATACCTATAATGGTTTTTTTTGTGTACAATGTTGTTAATTGAAGCCTAATAAAAGTATCAGTAACTAAAAATTAAATTTACTAAAAATATATTACACTTATTCTGTAATAATTGTTTCCAAATTACAATTTTAGTAATAAACTATGTATTAGGAGCTTTATTTATTTTTATTTTCTTTATTTCAGATAACAAATAGATGTCACAATAAGTCTTATATACTATTTACAATACTAATCCTTAATTATTTTGAAACCCATACTTCTATCTACAGACGAATAAGAAAAGTATACATATAACCAGACATTCCAAATATATATCTAAGATTTTTAAAGTAACATTAGGGTATTAGTACGGGGGAAAAGAGAGAAAACATATAATTACAGTATACAGATACACATAACAGGAGTACAGTTACACGTATGTAAGGTATTGCATTGTATTTGCTGAATGTAGCCTTTTATGCAATCAAAATGTCTATTTAATAGGTTTAAGTTTAATAAAATTAATTTCATATCAAAACGTAGTAGTCCTAATTCATTTTTAGACCTCTATGCGCCATCTATAATCCAATTACTCATTAAATTTGAATCAATGAGCTGAACTACCAAAATTATGATCTTACTACAGCACCAGGATAATAAAGTTACTAGATTAGTATATTTTGGGAGATATATTCCAAATAGATAAGCCCAGTGGAAGTATTACATTTTTTTCATACTAAATGCGTATATTATATATGCATATAGTATATCTGTGGTATGGATAAGGTACGGTATATTTAGTACCCAAAAATAAACAAAGAATAGTTAAAATTTTGTTCCATGAAAAAAAAATTACTTCGATTGTGGCAAAACCAGCTATTTTGATGTAAAAACTGAACCATTAAATTGATTTTGGTAAACTTTCTATGGAACTACTCTGAAAGTATATTCTTTTATTTTTATCGGCTACTTATCCAAATTAAGTAGCTAACATTACAAGTAACATAACATTTACAAGACTTAATTGAAGTTTATTATTATAATATATTTATTATAAAATTGTGTTTAAGAATTCGAAGAAGTCAAAGAATTGAATAGAATAATTATATCTTATAATAATATATCATATATCATCTTAAAAATTCGGTCAGTTATATGTTGTAGATTAATGAGAAACATGTGTGGTGTTTTAAAGATTTAGAGTATAGATATAAAAAATAAAGTATTTTTTTAATACATACCAAACTAAAATGATTTAGAGTACAGATAGAGAGATTATAAAGAAAACTGAAAAGTACTGAAATATCACAAAACAAAGTCAATCAAGATAAGAATGTTAAGATCAAAATCTCATTCAGTGATTGTGATAATTTGCGACTTTGTCGTTTATGTGGGTGCTAGATAAATGAAGACGAAGCCAAATAAGTTCTGCAACATGAACGACAGAAATCTATTTCTACTCGTATGTATTATAGTATTCACTTCCATGATTGTAGTAGCTGTAGCGTGTGTTTGTTTACTCACTAGAAAGAAGGGCATAAAGAAGCCTTACCCGTGCTCGCCTTTGAATAGGATCATCGCCGGGGATGGTCAAGAAATTCCCGCTCATCTTCACGAGACAAATGCCACAAACACTGGCGCTCTTTGTACTCAAGTGGAATTCGTTAAAAATAGCGCGCGTTCGCTTTGTGTGGAGAAGCGTGCGTACGCGACTGTGGTTATTCTGCGAATGATGTACCAGTTTATGAATGGGTGACGTTTAATAGTCCCTCTCTCTCCGTTCCCCGATGACGGTGCGCTGGTCACCGCGTTAACCCCGGACGTTCTTGTGTGGGAGTGTCTACGTTCCAATCTAATTGTTACCTAAATAGACTGCACCACAATCAGCAGTGTGAGCAATTCTTTGAAAGGGGGGGAAGCGATTGTTAGTAATGCAGACTACCAGTCCCATTGCTAGCAGTACACTCTGTCAGGTAGATTTCCACCTGCCCCCCCCCCCCAAAACCGTTTTGCTTAATTTTGGATGGGCTGAAATTCATCATAATGGGCTAATTGAATTGCTTTTTCATTCTCACTTATCATCCCACACTTCATTAAAAAAATCTATGAAAAACCGATGATCACTTGTTAATCGGAAGTGGATTTCTATTTCAAGGTTAGAGTATTTGGAATCGAAAATATTCTTGGATATTATCTATAAATATCACTCATTTTCTATTTCCTCTTCGAACGCCTAAACATTTCAAATGAACGCAATCATAACATTATTAGAGGCGATGAAAATATGGTATTTCCTTTGACTGGAATATCAAAACAAACACATAATGAAACGAAACGAGGTATATTTGAAATACGGATATTTATTTATTTTTTCATAAAAATTCTAAATTCAATAATGTGTTTAAACATGTAACATTTACATATATGCATTTATACAAAGATATATGCAATGTTTAGTGATATTAATACTAAAATTGGAGCGTTACAGACTTACAATGATGCCGATGCATGTGACGATCACATTTTACACTTACAAAATAATATTTACCAAGTATTGTCAAATGGTAAAGGTTTTATGTGTCAATACAATTTGTTCGTATTATATTTTGATGAGATTATAATGAATACTGTGCGCTTCTTTTTTACACTAGCTCGTATCGCAATATCTTCATAAACGATTACACGGAATTAAAATTAATTTCAATTGTACAAATACTTGTAAAATTAAATATACACCGAAATTAATACTGATACATTGTTAGTTTATGCAGATATCACACGATCCCATCAAAACTGCTGCCTCCCTTTCACAATACGATGGAAGTATGATTTGTAAGTATTTACAAATGGATGATCCAATTATATGAGGTTATTATCATCATTGGAAACTATCATCGTCAACAATTTGTTCTTTTTTTAAGTCGCGAACGAAACGATTGGATATTGTTATCCGATTGTTAACTATTTAGCTAAAATAATACAAACTTACACTCCATTCAATGCATTAATTCGTATATGTATTTATTTATTTATTATTAATGTTTTATTATTTATTTCAATGGACAAAGAATGTAATATATCTAATTCAAATTGTTAAAGCACTGTATATTATTAGTTTAAAATACGTTAATACATTGAATAGAATACAGGGATAACTTAATAAAAAATAACTATTTATTTATTAATTAATGATTGCGGAATATTTCTATTAACTATAGTTACACAGATTCAGTCGACTCAGAAATATAAAGTAAAAAAACTCGATTATTTAAAGAGTAAATATATATTATTGAGATTTGGACTAGACAAACCACATTCTCTATCTACAGATATGTAATCCATGATAATGCTAATATTTAGAAAATCTTAACTCCGTGTTGGTTAGTGATGTGCTTCAGCTACACATCGTGTATATTTTCAAAGCCACGCCGATTTTATGATACCGGTTAATTTGCACTCAAGTTTACATGTCCGAAAATGAATATGCTTTTATATTGTTTTACTAAGACTTTTTTTATTGAAAGATTTGAAATTGTGTGACAAGTGGGAAATTGCCTATGAAATTTATGAAGAGGTAAATTTATTATTATTACATTATATTTCTCAAAAAGATACGTCCTTTCTAATGAAAAATTATTAATGGTATACAGGTATAAAGTTATTGAAAATTTCGTATACTTGTTTGTACGTATCATAAAAAAAAAAGCTAGTGGATTTGAAAATACACACATTATAATTTAATTTATGTGATGTTTCAAACACTGTGACTTGAGTTTGGACTGTGATATTTAAATTATGATTTAATTATTATCTTGTTAAATCAACGATTCGTTATTGTTATCCCCCATATAAATAGCCTTAACAAATTATTTTTGAGCACTGATCATAAACGTACAGTCTCTAAACGAAACACATTCGAACATTCATAAATATTTTATTTAAACATTCAATATTGTATTGTAGATATAAACGAACTATAAAGATTTATTATTATTTAGTTTATTTAAAAAATATCAGTGCCCTGTACTCTGAAAATTAAGGATGTACCATCACTAACACATATAAGAACAATTATTACCAACCGACCATTTAATTTATCAGCTAAAACAGATTTAGGTACATTAGTAAGTACCCACGACAGTTAATGATTGTATTTCATTTATAACAATATCACAATTTTCAATAATATACAAAAAGACATAGGAGATTTTTGATTACATTTCTTGTTAAACAGGCCAAGCTTATTAAAGTAATATTAAGATGTGATATATATATTTAAACAACATTTTATTTGGTATTTACACGTTTCAGTAAAATACTAAATCAATGTGAACCACATTACAATGCAGATCGCTCGAAACGGGACACAAAAAGGAGTTTTATAAAAGATGGATAAGACCGTACATTTTATTATAAACCATAGCTATACCTATATTAATTCCATTTTAGAACACTCATCTCCTAAACGAACATGCTTTACGTACTCCGAGCATTACACCACGCTTTTAACAAATTACCAGAAACGCGTTTGCCTATAACACACTTCGACATTCAATAGACCCTTAACAGTTTAGATACATAATTCCGACTAACTCGATATGAAGCAAAGAATACAAACGAACGAAGGAAATAATTTACATAAGGCCATATATTATTTACTGTACACGCATAACGAGTAGATGATTAATTAGATAAATAATTATGTTGCATTATTATTAAGGGTTAAGGATTAATGCATCCGTATTTACGGCAGTTTTGGTCCATATAAATATTATTACATAAATCGTGTAATCGATGCTGCCACCATTTTAGGTACCCAGTGAAAAAATTATTAGAACAATATGATTCAAGTATAACTGAGAAGAACACTTCCATAGAATCAAATAATATTCTTGTATTGTTAATTAAATTCGTCGTAATGTAATAAAAAATAATTTATTGTTCTCTTTCGAGCCAACTATTTTGCAAGTGAGTGTAATTTTTCATTTGTCATATAAGAAAAATGTTATAACATTAAAATATATCTAATATACAATTCAATTAAATGGAAGTGTGCGATATCGAGACATGATAGAAATAAATTCCACGAGAAACATCTGAATACCTAAACGTAGGTGGCGCTCGCGGCGCCCGCGGCCGCCTACGGTCAGTCTTTTCAGCTAATGTTTACGAATTTGTGCAAAATATTCTACTATCCGCGTAACTTAACACCGTAATTTATTTACAAAAAGTCTAGCCAACGAGATTGTACGAAATTAAACGAACGAGCACTGACCGGGTACCGCCGGAGCGCCGGGCTTGTTCGTGTATGGTCGTTTCTTTCTGACGCGCAGCGCCGTGTATGTCCGTCTCGCTCGCACTGTACTATCGAAGGCTCGCCTGGAAATGTCAAAGACTATGGACCTTGTTAAATCCAGTCTCAGTTACCAAGTAGCCCTTACAGTTTGTGTCGAAGGCTCGGGGGTTGTCTTTAGAGGGTTCACGAGGGTCCCTGACCTCCGGTTGGTGCTTCTGCCCTCATCTCTGATTTGAGCTTGACGAATTCCCGTGCCACTTCATCGCTATGCCGCTGTGACAGTATTCGAAGAATGGTCCATCCGGTCTCGTCCATTTTGACGCGGGTGCCTAGTGGAAGCCAGCAGGCGCATGAACCCTGAAACAGAATTATTTTGATGTTGTTATTGAATTTGATAACTGGAAATAGGATAATTCAATGATGGTTTACTTCAGTAATACAGTAATATTGGTGATGCAGTAGCTATCATTGTTGAATGGTTCAATAGTTAATGAGATTTTTTTTATATTTAGTCTGACAACAAAATATTCCCGTAGAATTTGTAAAAAAATACATTCCTAATAGGGTATATAATTCTGTGGGCGTAAACCATTCTATGCCATATGGTCTCGGCAAAGAATTCGGCCAACCCTTCCTTTCACGTGGTGTTGTAAGAAGTAATTAAGGAAACTGATCTAGGGATGGACCAGCAGCGTCCCTCTTAAAACATCACCGAAGTCTAACTGTAGTTGTCAACCTGCCTGCCAGGCGAGGCAACTACTGACAAATTTTCCCAATAAAGAAAGACACATATATACAGCAATGGACAATTAAAAGCCGATATGATGATTATGATAATTATACTCCTATTAAGTTTGGGATGAATAAATAATAAGAGGTAAATGCAATAAAACATTAGAAAATTAAAATCACCTTCAAAGTCAATGAATATATTACTAACTGAAATCAAGCTAAATGTTAGTGGTAGTAAAATTACAGAGTATAAACACGTGAATTTACAGGGTACAGAGGAATAAAACCCGAGACCTCAGGAATAGCAACGCTTGGGAGTATCATGGGCGAAACAGTATACTCTGTTATGTCCATGGTACTACTCATGTCTATAGGCGACGGCTACCACTTTCCATCAGGTGGACCGTCAGTTTGTCATTCTAAGTTGTATAGAAAAAAGACAAATACCGTAATAAACAAACAAACAAACCGTCGTCTTTAGATATAGCATCACATGAACAGTACCATGTGTGATTACAATGTATTCTCTTCGGTCATATGAAGAATTTTCTACCAGGTGTGTTGCTGTTTGCACTTCTAATTTGTATAAAACATTCTGGATATTTTTGTGACGTCTAAAAGAAAAAATAAATATATTTAAATAAATACCTGTTCTGCGATATCGGCGAGGCGCATGACTGCGACGCCGACGAGACGGTCCTCGCGCGCGAAGCAATAATCCCGCACGCACACGTGCAACTCGAACAGTTCCAGTTGTTCCGTCGCGCTCACCATGCTGTAAATATATTATCCAAATATTGAATAAATAATAAAAATAACATATGACTGTTTTGCTAAGAGATAAGCACGTGATAGAAGAAATACTTGGTACAACACAATTTAATCAATTTATAAGAGACATCTAAAGATGCTTCCTATAATACGAAGATTTTTATTCTTTTGTTTTTTTTTTTGTTTTGCATAATACTGATTTATTTATTGATTTATGCTGATATATTTAATAATAAAATAGATAGATTTTCTAAATGTTGTTTTAAATGTTTAAGTTTATAAAATGAACCTATGGCTCACTATACGTTTTGAGATACTATAAGTGTAGTGAGCAATTTATAAATAAATACAAAGTTACAATTTAATTATGTTTAAAATCCTTACTAACATTACCCATAAATTTAAATCATTTGATCGTTATGAAATTTAACAAATACATAGTATTTGGAAGAAAAAATGACATTTTTATTTTTTATGCCACTAATTTGGTCAAACGGAAGAAGTCACAAGTAAAATCTAGTAATATAACACTCACAAGTGGAACGTCTCGTTGAACTTGGGACTCCAGTTGTTGCTCTTGGACTTGGTGGCAAACTTCCTCTTCTTATCCGCTAGATGGGGCCCAATCAGGTTCACTTCAATGAACGGACGGAACATACCACTCGCAATCACCCATTTCAGATCATTGGCTGCTACCACTGAAATTAAAAAAAAATGTTTTGGTTGTAAAGTTATAAATTCAAAATTAAAAAAGATACCTTAAAATTAAAGCTAATGCTTTGTAAAGGGACTTATTACAATTATTATAGTCTATTTTACCTTTTACAGTGATCTTGTGTTCACCGGTACCAGGATGTGTGAACAGATCGACCTGCAAAGACACTTCTCCAACGCTACCTTCTTCTGCAACTGCTGCATCTGTGTGATGAGGGTTATATAAATTAGCTGTAATTAGCGAATTCATTTTATATAAACAACACTTGTAACGTGATCGAGGGTAAATATTTAAATTTTTCAGTTTTTAATTTTTTTATTTGTGAAAAAGGAGTTACAATAAAAGAACACAGGACAATAGTTGGAACTCGATATAAAAGATGGAACTTATTAATGTTAGGCATTTTCTTAAAGACACAAAAACAAACTACAAAATTTATCGCGAATGCACTTAAGAAACCAAAGAATGCTCTCAGATTAGTTAAAAAGTGCATTTACATCAAAAAAGTGTAGATAGGCAGCAAAAATAATGATTCTTAAACTTTAATTTCACTTTAAGAAATTTTAGATTAGAATTGATTTTTCGTAATGTTAAAGTAATAAAAAAGCATAATACGAACTAGTGGAACATGCCACGTACACACTAATGTACATGTCGCCGGCCCAAAATTAATATTTTCACGCCTTTTTTTTAAAGAATCCCATACAAAAAACAGTAATAGTTATCAACTTCCCTTAAAGCAGATCATAAATTAAAGATGTAACTTACCCTGATTCTGCTGACTGGTGACAAATGTTCGGATAAGCGTATCTGTTGTTTGCGTGTACAGACTGAGAGCATATCGCAACGATTGCAGTTCCGGACTCTTCTCCAAAAAGGTCTTTTTGAGGCCATTGCCACCCGCGTGGAAGTATTGCTTGATGGTATCCAAAGCTGCGTCTAGTACCGCACATTGTTTTGGTGTTAAGCTCTTCTCAGCAGATAGATGCTGTAATCATGAAAAAATGTTAGAATTTTAATCTAAAAGAAAAATGTTAGAATATGTCCCAATTTGATATTATTTTACAAGGCACTCTAATAAACATGGACTTGGCGGATACCATAAACTTTAAGACATACATTCTAATTAAATTTAATTCTTCCAAATTCAAAAGTCTAAAAATTGTTTTAAAGTTGGATATATTAAAAATGTGACAGTCAGTTGCTTATTTGTATTTCAGAATTCATTTACAAGCGTTGTTCCGCAAACAAAGTTAGAACTAAAATACCATAGTATTCTCCTACGCTTAAATGATTAATACCATGGTAGATACCTCTTTAGATATATCCATAACCCCGGAGAGCGCATGTTTGACATCCTGTTTACCGACTGTACTCTTGAATAATTGTGTCATGTCTTCAATCTTTGCGTTCGCCGCCAAATTCTTGGCGTTGTTGGTTAAATTCTTAAGCATCATCTGTAAGAAGGTAAAAGATATATGTTTAGAAATATATTCACAGACAGAATCAGACACATTTTATGGAATATTCCTTGTATGATATCAAAACGAGAATACAATGCATCACTACTCATTGTCGTTCCAGAATATGCAAGTGATGATAGGAGAACTCATCTCAACACACCAATGCAAAAGATAAATCTCGGAAATAAAACTCCAAACCAAGCCATCAGACCAGTGTGATAAATCAGAATAAGAAAGCAAGGATCTTTTTATGGCATAAGATAATTATGGCAAATATAACACTCCATTTTTTCATACATCAGTGAGGATATTTGAATCTGATGATCCACTTGCGTTTTTTGGATTTTAAATAATTATAACATTATTGATATAATGAGGTATATAATATTTAATCCGCATGTTATATACCTATGTATGTTTGGAAGACGTATACATGCAATCAATTAAGTAAAACACAATTAAGTTACCGTCTTATCAGTCATAGGCGGAAGCACAACAGTCTTTTCGAGAATCTTCATAACGATCTTCCATAACTCTTTGAGCAGTCGTTTGAGAACAGTCTTTTCGCAGGACTCGGCGTACATTGTTAATGAACCATCCTGAAAGATAATTTATTATTAAACATAATAAGATCTTTTTATGTTCTATTCTGAAAAGTTTTTTAGGATTAGCAAAGTGACACTTTAGATCTAAGAAGTATCATAAATACAGTGCTAATGTGAACAAAGTAGCTTTAATTAATCTCACTATACTTACTGCGCCTACCGATTTCAAATGCTAAAAATGATAATTTAAAAGAGCTTGTAATCAAATCTATTTGAATAAAAATTATTTCTATAAATCATTTCAGCTATTACTTGTCCGCTATGGAACATAGGTCTTCTCCATGGATTGCCGTAAAAACCTAATATTCTTTTCTACATATTATTGAAAGCAAATTACGAATAATATAAAATATAGCAAAAATTTAGCATCGATGTCTATCAATATAAAATATATATTTTATACTATAAGATAAGAGAAGAAATACAAGATAATCATACAAGGGCTTATTACAATCTTTTAAAAACTGGGCAGGTCTTTGTCACGGCCACGTGACCACTAACACACTGCCCTGCTTAGCCTACGGTTTTAGTACCCATTTGTAATGCAGCTTAATCTATTATTATCATATCAGCCTTTACCTGTCTAACATAAGCTTGCATTTAGGGAGTTTTGACAGTAGTTGCCACACTTGGCAAGTGGACAGGCAAGTTAGGCTTTGGAAATATTTTAAAATGGAAACTGTTACCCATGCCACCCAAACCTTTAGGAAGGGAAGGGGTGATCTATTCTATGCCAGATTAAGCTGATCATGTGGTCCTGCCACAGCTAATAAAACAATCAAATATTAAGCATTCGTAATAAAGGACTTATTACATTAAATTAATAAAAAAACTGACCAGTATGTCCATGAGTGGACGCAGTACTTCATCGGCCTCGTGGTGTGCAGGTGGCTGTGGGGCACCAGGAGCTCCACCACCACCAACCTTCTGCAGGAGCTCGCCCAGTTCTTTTACGCTCGCAGTGATGCGTCCCTCCAAGCTATCATTATGCATACAAATATTAGTGCAGGTTATATTAAATAGATCGGACGATCTCTGATACAAGGTGTCCTTTAAATAGTGTACTTTTATTGTCAGAAGTAGCGACTCGTGAGGAGAGAGCTATGGGTGGTATCTCTATAAATGGATTTGAAATTAATATATAATACAGCGGTGTGACTTTTGATGCAGTTTTATTGGAAATTTGGCATTCAATCGAAATGACTACGAATATCGAATAAATATTATCTAGCCCTTAACGAACTCTGCTGCACAGCGGTTGCTTTGCGTAAAGGACATCTCGGGTCAAACCAATTTAGACACGGATTTTTTATAAATTAACTCGGGTTTGAGTATTCTGGGTTGTGTTCCAGACATTTAATGGCTAGTTCCTCATAACATAGGGTTGGAATAACACAACTTGAGATCCAAGCAATTACTGCGATTGTATAGCATTTGTGTTATTATTATATTGCAATATCTATTCGATGTCCTTTCGATTTGATCTTAAAGCCATTACGTTAAAAATCACCTCGCAATCTTTAGTTATATTTGTACCGTTCTTTTCTTGCTATATATGTATGCAAGTAGAATAAATAATAAAACAATATTAATAATTTTTAATGCAACCGGTACAACTAGACCTTCAACCACCACTCAGTAGATTAGGATTTAAAAGCGTCAATTTGTTTTCTTCAGTCATATTTTTAACACATCCATGGCAATAGTACAAGTGTAGTGTAACTTATACGTAATAGTATACGTAAATACTTTTTTAGCCGAGTTTGTGTTCTGTACATACCTGTTTGCGAACATAGAAGCGAGTTCATCGAGCGTACTGTTCAGGCTTTGCTGTAAGTCATTCAAGATGTCGGCCGCGTCTCGCTCCAGCTTCGGACCTCCCATCGCTTCGAACATCTTCTCCAATTGTACTCGCAGTTGTTGGATGTTATTCATAAGAATACATGCCTGTTAAAACATTATTCAATTTGTGAAATTTATTATAAATAAAAATGATATTGTGACTGATTTTTGTTTAAGGATTCATGAATGAATTGATTAAGAAATGTATATTAAATAGGTAAATAAATTTTGTATGTACTTTTAAAATTTTAATAGAAACTATTTATGATATTTAATTTGATGCATATAAATTATTTACTTGGGATATTTAAAAGTCTATTTCTAATTACATTACGCCATAACATTAGAAACCTCTAAAATTATCAGTTTTCTCTACTATAGTATATTATGCATGTATTATACATATAAACCTTCCACTTGAATCACTCTATAAAAAAAAACCCATTAAAAATCCGTTTCGTAGTTTTAATGACCTAAGCATATATAGAGAGAGACAGACGGGAATCGACTTTGTTTTATACTATGCAGTGGTAATTGATTATTTATTCTGTGTTAATAATACGACTTATAGTTCATTTATATAACAAACTTCAAACAATTAAATTCAAGAACGATTAAGTAACAAATATCTGCTCGTATATAAACTGTCACGTAAACCAATATAAAATTATATATTGGTAAATATATTGTAAACTATTTGAATAAAATCCAACGTACCACTCTCTCTTCCTTCAAATGCTCAGGGAATTCTTTTTTCACAATATCAGCATAAGCGACGAGGACTTTCACGATGGTCTTCGCGAATCTCTTCATATACCGTTTCCAGATCTCAGGATCTGGACATTCCAGTTTGGAGACCACGTCGAAACACTGTGTCAGCTGCGTGAACACATCCACTACGGAGTTACTGAAGAGGGCATGCTCGCTGGATTTTTGGAACTGGAAGAGGAAAATTTTTGTTAAAATATATTCCGCTATTTTGGTGCAATATGATTTCTGCAACTATCCAATGGATAATAAATGAATGCAAGTTACAACTACTGGCAGATGTTTATATATATTTTTTAAATCATCTATTTTTTTTTTTTATTTTATTGTGATATTTTTGAGTATTGTATAAGTAATAATAAAAAAGACCTCTTTTCTTTTATTTCGTTTACGTTCATGTAAATTAATAATATGGATAGAAGAATCACACGCCATTGTATCTGTGCCATGTTGTCTCATAAAGAATATTGGAAAGATTTTGTTTATATATAGAATGACAAACAAGCTACCTATAATGGGAACTTGCAACAGCAACATGGATACCATAGAATACACTGTAATACCTCCTGAGTTGCCATTTCTGAGTTCTATAATGTTATGTCCCCGTATCCTGTACTTTTACTGCCATACCCACAATTTAAACCAAAACACAGCTATGCAAGCACGCAAGAATACTTTACGGAAGAAACAAGAGTGGGACAAAGATTTCCGAAGCGACGACTTTTTTATAATGTCTCCTTCTGATAAAATTATATAACTTATATAAGTCCTAGGAATCTTTTAGCTAGTCTCAGTTAACTCTTAGGGGTTCCCAAGTTATAAAATGGATGTTATACAATAAGTATCATCATAATCATCACATCAGCCTTTAACTGTCTACTGCTGAACAAAAGCCCTTCCTCTTCGAGGATTCTGTCAAGAGTTGCCATGTTTGGTAGGCGGGCTGGCAATCGCAGTAAGGCTTTAGAGATACTTTAAATGGGACACTGCTGCCCATCCCTCATCCTCCCTTAGTCGCTTCTTGCTACACCCACGGAAAATGAAGAAGGGTGGCCTATTCTATGCCGGGACCATACGGGTCACATATATACATTATGTATACTTTACGGTAATCTACTCACCCCATCTCGTTTATCTCTATTGAAGGCCCCGTTGAGGTATTCGAGTGATACATCGTCGTTTTCGTTGAGCCACTGCATTACGAAGGGCTCGAACCAGGCCGGGTACTCCGGTACTGCTCCGCAGTACGGAGGCACGTCTTTCACGTAATTCGTATGAAGCCATTTCACCTGAATTGTTAAATGAAAATGAATAGATTTATTTTTAGTTTAATAATACGCAACATTTAAGTAATTAAACCATCACAGTGATAACTGAATATATTGGGGGGAAGGGATTGTTAGCAATGGAGTTGGACAGCCCCATTCCTAGCGATATGTCTTATTAGGTCGACCTCCACGTATCTCCCACTTGGAAACCATCGTAAACAATTCTTGTTGAATTTGTCACGATGCGCTAACTGACCTGCTCTATTCTCACCTATCATCCTTCACTGGTGCCCCGCCGGTGTATACCGATAGCGCGGGTGGGGTTACCATTCCATTATCACTCGTTAAAAAAACACTGAACATGTTACAATGCCATCTACTGCTGAATTAAGCAGAGTAAGTAAACAACTAGTAGTGTATATGTACGTAATGACATACATATTATACGAGTATATATATGTAGAAAACATAAAAACATGTTAAAGTATTCATGATTACAAATGTTTGTATTATGCATAGATCGAACCAGTAACCATTCGAACGTGAGGCGGTATGTAGCCAACATACATAATAAATACGTGACAATGACAAATGTGAAGTGATGTATAAGGTTTTTTTTTAATTAATAATAGAACAGGGAATAATTAAAAAAAAATTATACACCAAGGATATAATCTATTGTGTAATATTTTCTTCACAAATTTCAGCTAGTTACGAGGTTATTCTTACAAACCTTAAAATGTAAGTTCATGTAGGCAGAAGACTTGCATAATCGATGTTGTTCGTGTTCTTCTAACGCATATTTCATGTCCACCGCAAACAGAGACCACATCGTTGCGGCGGATAACTGTAAAAATTATATAATTGGCCACATAAATTACACTGTTTTATGTATTTTTATTATTTTCATTTATGTAATTAATTTATATTAAGACAGTTCTCGACTCCTGTGAAAGTATTGGAACGCAGTAATACAGTGACGTGAAGTGGTGATAGCTCAGTTAGACGCACTGCGCAGGATTCGAAATATGTTGATTTAAAAACAGTATTTATTTTTTTCATTTTATTACCTGTCCAATGTTCAATTCCTGTGGAAATTGATTGAGGACGGGAGCGTAACTGTTCCTGTCCTCCTCTATCACAGATACGATGAGGGCGATGAGCTTATGCCAGAAGTCCACAGAGTCCAACTGCGGTCCGTGGTCGGATGGATCGCGTTTGGCCTCGTTTGGATCCACCTGACAGAAATTAATAAATAACATAAGATGGACGTCGACTTCAAAGGTAATATTATGTTACGTTAAGGTGTAGTTTCTTTTACTTTCTTTAATCTACATGTAGTATGTTATTGTTATTTAAATCGAAATATGTTGGTTTGATATGAAACTCTAACAGACAAATCAACATAAACACAAACAGAGAAATATTTCAAAAATTATATTTAACCTTATTATTTATTTATTTATTATATACATATTTTTGGTGAGCTTTACAGATTTACTAATTAATGCACTTACCAAAAACTGATAATAAACTAATAGAAAATAATAATAAAACATTCTAATTATAATATAAAAATAAATATTAAAAATGTAATTTTGTGTAATTTGTTATATGTGACACCATCATTTTTAATTCAGTACTACACGAGAGTGTAGTACTTATAAACTACATTACCAAAACAAATTAATATACAACTTTGAGAATTAATTAATTATTTAAATAAATTAAGCATCTTGAAGTGTTATTGGGTTACAAATATTCAAACATCTCTTATTAACTGTTGTTTTTAGAATTATAGTTTACCTGGAACTCTCTGTTGTACAGCTCGTAACAATTCTCAAATAGAAACTGATATGTTGATCTAAGGCAAGCCTTCACGCAGTCTTTGACTACTGTGCTGGCACGGGGTGGGCTGCTAAGCTCTTGGACCTAGAAAATACGCAAAAAACATGAATATACTTTAATAACAAAACAAATATAAATAATTATGTACTAAATAATATTTAGTACATAATTATTTACAAATTTAAATTACAGACAATTACAGACGCATAAGACGCCAAGTTAGGTAAATACTAGATTACTACGTTATTTAAGAGTCGGTACTGCTCTTTAATTGACTAAACTCTTAATTTAATTTATGCAACTACCTTCAATAATCACCACAATGAAATAATGAAAATTCATAATGTTATAGAACTATTATAATAAATATGGGTATCGATAGACATCACAAAAAAAAACTAGATGTTTCAGTGCAAAAACATTAAAGTTCAATGAACTGGTTGCATAGATTTCATACAAACGTTTCTTTGTTCGAAGTCAAGTTGAACGGCCAAAAATAATATAAAAATAAATTTGGCGGGAAATTAATATTTTTTTAAAACAAAGAAATATTTATGAACTGTTTTACTACATACATACATACATACATACATATCTACATACATATCTGTCACGCCTGTCTCCCATTAGGGTAGGCAGAAACAATGGAACGCCAAATGCTTCGATTCAAACAAACCTCTTTCCCTTACTTCTGTTTTACTAAAGTGTATAAAATATTGATTATAAAATTTTTAATAATTTTTAAGACAGATATATTTAGAAACTACTTTTTCTTTATAAGCATAATAAGAAAAAAAAACACAACTAAAATATAGCAATAAACTACCCCTGTTTCTAAGAATAAGGGTATTTTTTTATATCAATACAATTAAATACCTTGAATTCTTAGATTATACTAAAGTTTATTGTTTACCTTCATCCTGAAGAAAGTTATGCTGGTAAGCAGATCAACTGTAGACTTGAGATCCATGAGTTTCTCAGCGCTGGAAGCGGGGAAGTTATTTCTGTACATCGACAGATCGATGCGCAGTGAATTATGCAGCTGATCCAACAGTTTGACGAATTTCTCTTTCTGTGGATATTAATAATGATATTTAGTTTTAATAATCGCTTAATCGATTTTAATGAAATATTATTTTCTTGAACATGAGAGATGAAACAATTTTTATTTCAATAAATGTTTTTTGAGTATCATAAAATCTTAGATTATACATAAAGCATAGTGATTACCTGATAGTATAAAGAATAGAATAGAATAGAATAGAAAATCATTTATTCAAATAAACTTACATTGAAGCACTTTTGAATAGTCATTACATTTTTTTTTAATCTACCGCTCGTTCGGAAAGCTGTCTCATCACAAGAAGAACGAGCAAGAAACTTGCGTGTTGCTCTTTTAAATAATTTTATTATTACTTTATTATTATTAAGATGTATTCAATATAAATAATTATTTTAAAAAAAATGACAATATATCAAAGTATTTTAATATTAAAATTTATCCTGTTTATTTAAAATTGGCTGAACTCGGATATTAAGACGATAATAACATATTATTATTGAGAAATAACATATAATTCAATATTCTCACCCCAAAATTGGATGCAGCGAATCTGTCCGAAGCTGACACAGCAGACGAAGCAGTGGTATGGGCATAGTATGCATTGATATTGGCTAATAGTGTTGACATTACAGCTGGAACGCCCGCACATAGATACTTCGTGGATAAGCAATGAAAATGTCTGAAAGAAAAAATAAACATCAAATAAGAATTTTCAATAAATTATTGAGGTATTTATTACCTGTTCTATTATGTAATATTTTTTGTCGTATATAAAGAATTTTCCATGATATAATATTAAAAATTTGTATAGGTATTTTAAAAACCCCGACATGATTTTTTTTTAAATATTCATGTATCAAGTAACCTAATTAAACCAGCTTTGAAACAAAAATTGTGCACATACGCGTACACACACAAGCACACGCATGTGCATACGCTCACACTCAAATACTCAGCAAAAAAAAATACACACGTAAAATATTCAAAGAAAATGAGGGGTTTCTTTTTGTATTTGACTAGTACCATTAACTATTAGATTACATAGACAGAGCATTTAGTATCAAAAATGGAGCAAAATTTTTAACGGATTTTTTTACTAATAATATTTTTAGAAAACACAAATTTTTTTAGTAAATATAACGTGTAACTTTTTCACTGTTTTAAGTAATTTGATTGATGATGATGATAACTAAAAATTAACTTTGTAAATTTACTTCAGTTCATAATCACTTACAGGAGGAAAGGGTTCTTAGTAATGGGGTTTAGTAACCCCATTAGTAGCAATATACCCTGTCAAGTTGACTTAATTTCATTCATTCATGTAGATTTTTGAATTTTTCACGATGGGCTAACTGGCCTGCTTTCATTTTCACCTGTCATCCTATACTGTTTCTTACTGGTCCGACAGCGTAAAGTCATATGGCACGCCGATCTACAATTTCATTTTCACTCATTAAAAAAAACACTTACGTCATCGCCTGATAGATAGCTTCAATGCCGTATCTCATCGCGAACTCGTCTACAATCTCCTCCGGAATCTCATTGAAGTAGACCTTCCAAGCATCATCTCCTCTTGCCGCCGGAAGGGTGACGGCTCCACCGTTCTCTTCGCATAGGTAGTGGAACAAGTTCTCGTGAAGGCAGGTGTACTGGGGACAACAGAGACATTTTTAATCAAGTTTAAAAAGAACAAGTGCTAAATACGACTGCATTTAGGATTTTGCATGTTTTATAATAAACAAGTTGTTTCCCACAGCTTCGCCCGCGTGAATCAGTATGTAAAGTATCAAGTTAAAGATATAACCTACTTGCGTATAAAATGTTAAAATCCGGTTAGACGTTTAAGTGTGATTGAGCAACAGTCATACAAACATCTTTACAAACATTTACATTTATATATAATATTAGTAGAGTACGTATATATTTATGTATGTATTTTTTTCCTCAGAAATAATGATGATGTATATATTTTACGCAATACTTTTACCAATTACGAACAGATTTTGATAATTGTTATTATCGTCAAAAAGAGTTTACTCCCATGATTTTAATATTATAATATGCCATAGATCCCATATTACTTTTATCAGGATTTGAATCGTTGCTTTACTATGTATTATTAATATATTTACGTAGACTATATACTCGTATTATTATCTGCGCAATTTTATAATTAAGTTACAATTGAATTTTGTGATAAAACGTGGATAACAGATTAAAAAGTTTTACAAACGGACCCTCGATTTACAATGGCAACATTTTCAATTCGACGTTTTCCGACAACCGCGCGGGAAATCAGAGGCAAACGAATGCGGAATAAATTGGATTCTCCCGGCTTCGCTGGTGATCGACACAAGCGCTAACAGTGATTAATATTTGTCAGTTTTCAATATAAACAATTTGAAAACATCTGCGAATGTTTTTTTTTTGGTATCTAATAAAAATAAATAATTGTAAGTTCGTGTGCTGACAGGGTAATATAACAATTTGTCACCACTCCATTTTCTTACTCAGAAAGTCGTAAAGCTGATTAAAGGAGCTCAGTAACACACCAGTACTGGAAAAGGAAAATTCGAAATTAAACTTCATTTCGAGTTTTCCGTCTTCTTGTTTAGAGGAGAAAATCACGGTTTTGTTTCATTCTCCATTTTGATTTTGATTCGGTATTACGAAGATATCTTTTGTGACAGCTACATTTATATTCTCTGAACCCATATTTCTTTAGACACAATTTCATTATTTGAGTTTATTATAAGTAATACAATAATTAAATAATTAACTTGTTTTATAACCCGTAATTATACCTCTAATTAAAATGAAACACCACTGTATTAAAATTTAAAAAGAATTATTTATATTTATTATACTAATATTTAATTAACAAATTTGATAAAATAAAAAGTTTATTTTTGGAATTATTACTCTTCGTTTTCGGTAAACAAAATAAATTTATATATCACTTATTTATTGTAATAAAAATTAACATCTGTAATTTTAGTAAAAGTACTATATAATTTATTAAACAATTTGAATTAAGAACATTAATCGGATTATATACAAATGAGGATCTTATTATTTATACATCAGTATTGGGTTGTGAATTATGAGCGTGTTTCACGACACGCGATAAATCTTCTTCACACGCCAAAAGTAGCGTGATCAATAACTTAACGCAATGTATACTAAATATATAAGTATGTAAATATCATATGTACCTAATGCACAGATAGTATACCTATCTTCCGATGGGAATTTCCTGGAACTACTACCCGGTAAGATTTTGTGGGAACACTTTGGAAATGTGACTATCTGTAATAGCAGTGTGATTTTTCCTGTTTTTATGTTACTAGTACGTATAAATAATATTACGAAGTACAAATATTACAAATTTAAAAATGTATTTGTTTATTTATTTGTTACGCCATTTGGTATATTATTTGGTATATTTTTCTATAAAAAAAGCGACTGCTTAGCTAAATAGCTCTCAAATAGTCACTAGTTCACTAAACTTTTAATTTCATTAAACTTTTAATACCAATAGATACTAGTAGTAGGTATTAAATCAACTAAATTAGAAAATTTCAGTATTCTTAAAAGTAGTACTACCCACTAAAACATAAAAATCTCAATCTATCAGTAAACATATTTTAAATGTTCTAGCACAAAAATAACAAGACGTCGGTCGTTTCTGCCCCGATCTAGGGATATAGTATTTATTTATACTTTATTGATCACAATACAAAAAATAATAATAAGAACAAAGCAGAGTCAAGATAAGTGTAAACGACCTTAGTTGACTAATATAATATAAGCGCCCAGGACACAAGACCCAGAAGGTTTAAAATTTCAAAGGTATACATAGAGGACAGGAAATATTTCATGCGCAGGTGGACTTCTTAATCATTTTTAATCTCATTGCTTTTTGCGGCTTATGAAGTCTTGATACTGTAAAATTAAATACATGAAAAAAAAAAGGAATAAATTAATATAATATGGCTTATTACATTTAAAAATCTTTTGTTATAAGGAAATCTCGAAATAAAACTGTATTTCTAAGACAGTTATATTAATTTAATATTCTTCTATTATAAGGAAAGACTTTAATCCAGTACTAGGTAATGGTATATGGTTGTTAACCTAGTAATATATTAAAGAGTTGACAACAGAATTGCTGACGATATTGCATACGCAACATAAACATAAAAAAGTTAAAATGAGAAACTCCTCTTTGAAGTGAAAATGTTTTGGAATTTTTTAAAGAAACAAGCAAGTACCAGTAAATTATATAAGAACCAAACATTCATCAACGAAATGAAGATTGGAACGAAAATGTTTCCCATATCCGCTAAGAACGCGACGCTCTCACAAGATTAATTTGTAATTACATTACCTGCCAAATAAGTATGCAAATGTATAAATAATGAGAAAGAGTATGCAACTCAAATATTTTTCTGCGATTCAGTATTATATTATTTGATGATGTTAAATTAAAAGAAATGAAATACAATTACTTGGTAATATAAGCCTGGTAAGTAAGAAGGTACAAATTTTTTTTATCAATATTTAACCCATGTCTCTTTAAAAAAAAATGTTCAGTTTAGTTGATAGAACATACACCTAAAATGATCCTAATGATGTCCAATTTACTCTGTACATAATTATATAAACCGTGTGGTTCCGGCATAGAATAGGTCAGCCCTACATTTCCCGTGGGGGTCGTAAGGCAACTAAGGGAGGGCGAGGTATAAACTGCAGTGTCCCTTTTAAAACGTCTCCAATGTTTAACTGCGGTTGCCAATCCGCCTGCCAAGCACGGCAACTACTGACAAACCCCAAGGAGAAGCTTATGTTCAGTGGACAGTTAAAGGCTGATATAAATAAATAATGACGATGATAATTATATAAAAAGCGGAATTCCCTATTTCTATATCATTATATAATTACTATATTAATAAGTACATGGAATTATAATGGAAGATGATGTGTTAATTCTTCTCATTATGAGCAAACAAAGGAAGGCGGCGGTGCAAGAAGAAAATTAATTAACAATTAACAAATTGAGAGTCATCAAGTTGTTGAAAAAGGGCAGCGCTGAAACCCTAGAGCGTTTTAATTAATCTTAGTATTTGGGTAGTCTCATTATAGCACTACCATTCACTGATACAGCACTAAAGGAACCAAATAAATGGGGTCATATCACGATTCTCATACAAAACTTTTTAGAGTACACGTAAAGCTTTTATGTTCTACATTATTATTTTAATGCACTGATATTAGTTTAATAAGCATAAGATTACACTTTTTAGATATAGTTGTTTATTACTTTTTAAAATCCCAGTATAGTAATAATATAGCAAATTTTTTAATACACAAAATGTTTCTTAAATAGTTAATATATTTTTTTAACTTATACATCGTGTATACGAAAGTGCAACTTAAAAAATATTACTTTGTCTTATGTATAAAATATATGTTATTGTAAAAACCCATACATTGGTAAATCATAGGTTTAGCCAGTAAATCTAATAATTCACCAACATGATTTGATAAGACAGATCATTTTTCGGGCTTTTATCAAACTTAACCTACCTTTCTGACCATGAGTACGAACACTACGCACTAAATTCTAACTCAACTAACTTTATGTCTAAATCATTTCAGAAATAGTAAGATATCCTTTTTAAACTATTAATGTAAAAAGGTATGATCAATAAGGTTGCTATAAAAAGTTTAACAGAAACTAAAGAGGAAAATCTAAATTGATTTACAAACTGTTTGTAAAAAAAGGGTTTTATTTCGAAGCTATAGGAGTTTGTACTCTTTAACTTCGAATTGAATCTCTTTTACTTTTATACGTAGTTATTTATTTAAAATTCGAAGAGTAAACTCATTAATCCTTCCACAGTTTTCATATTATAAAGACCAATATAAACTACAATTCTAATAGGATTAGATCAAAATTATTATAAGCTTAGTATATATAATCCATAAAATATCAATTTCGCAATATCAAATTTAAATAACAGGTTATGAGATAGGTTTAGAGAAATGATGCCTAAAAATTAACCTCAATGTTTATGTTTATAAGCAGTTATCAGAACCTTCCATTAACTGGACTATCAGTTTATTTTTTTTTCTATAGCATTATAAATAAGTGGATATAACATAGTTATAAAAAAATCCAACCATAAAATTAGTTACTGACAGTTTATGGCCGCCGTATTTCAGTTCTACAATTAAAATGAACTAACAAATCTAAGTTTCTCGTTTATATAAATAAATAAATAAATTATACTCAGCGCCATAGATACAAAAGCACTAATATACATACATATACATACATCAGATAAAAAATACTCTTCTTTCTATAGTTGTGTGTTACATTTACTTCTCTCTACCTACCCCGTAAGGGATATAAAAACTGATAGTAATCTCTTATAACGTACCGCTAGCCTAAGAAATTTCATTTTTTTTTTGTTTCGTCAATTTTGCGGTTTATAATAAATGTAGGGAAAAGTTATGAGGGTAAGTGAAAAAGCCTGTCGGGAATATAAACTCCATTGAAACTGATAACAAAACATAAATTGAATGATACGCCTCTGTAGGACGTATTTTCCTTATTATCAAGTATGGCTAAGTCTGTTTTCTG